CATGCCGTCAGGCTGGGCCCACTCAGTGGTTACAATGGAAGATGCGGTTGGCTTGGCTGGCAACTATTTATCGCGTGAGAATTTGGCTGGAATAGACTTCGCGTTATTGGAGGAGGCGCGGTCAGCTGGTTTCGAAGGATACGAGCTCTTACAGTTCGTTGCCAACCATAAGAAGCAGGTTGCAAAAGACATGGGAGTTACAGTCAGGGGCCTTGATCGCATGCAGCGCGAGGCTCAGGAAAGTGGGGCAGCGGCCATGGATGCAGAGGGGGAAAGATTGACGAAAACGTTCCAAGCAAAGCACACCAAAAAAAGCGGGCGGGGCAAACAGAAGCAAGGAAAGGGGAAAAGTGTCCGCAAAGTTGGGCGCAACAGGTTCTGCAACCATCCAGAGCACGACCCAAACTGTGCAAGGACGCTCAGGGAGCGTGGTGTCCCGGGCGTCTGGTATGGCAAGACGGTCACGATGTGCAGGGCGTGCGAGTCGAGATTTAGGAGTTCAAAGAAGCTGCATGAAGGGGACCTTGCGACACACTTGGGACTTGGCCCAAAGGATTGAAAAGGGCGCTCGATTGCTGTGTAGACAAGAGTAGTTGTTGCCTCAAGACAGAGTGAGTGGCACTTAAATGAAATGGTCAGTGTACCTCGCTTGCGAACTGATCAGTACAACAATTTGAAGGTCACACGTCGTACTCAGCAAGTACCCTGTGTGTATTTCGAGCAGAACGTATGCTGCTCCTTTCGACAGATGACGTAAGTGCGATGCATATGGATGTGTCTCAACGCTTGTATATATACAACTTTGCATGTATCTTTATTTGCAAGTACAAGCATAAGGTCCAGCTCATAATACATGTGTCACATACAAGCGAATGTATACATCCTCGGAATGAAAGTTGCCATTCGAAGCAACCGAGACTCGTATGATGGAGTGCAACAAAGTGAAAATGGCTGAAACCGAGCAAGAGGAGATCTGTATTTGCGGATGACCGCTTAACGTCCTATTGATCATACGTGTGTCACATGCGAGCGAATGTACATGCTCGAATGAAAGATGCCGTTTGAAGCAACCACGGGTAGAAGTGCAAAGAGCAATAAAGTGCAAAGTGCAAAGTGCTGGAACTTACGAAGCAATTGAGTGCGAAATTTCGGAAGCACTTAGAATTCGTGTGCAAATAAAATAGCCTAATGTTTTGAAACCACTGAGCTCATTGAAACAGTAAACATGTAAGCTACTCCTGATCATTATCGGACTGGACCAAACTGTTGCTACATTCCGTGGTCTATCTGCTCTATTCATCAACTTCCATCTCGTCCTCGGACTGTACTTGGATGCCAACCGAGCTAGCATTATGGGCCCGCTCTTGGTCGTACAGAAGCCTGCAGAGGGTTTCGCGGTATTGAACCCCAAGTCGGTACGCAGTCTTCTCCTCAACTGGCTCATCCTCGTCAAGATCAACTCCATCGGAGCCCAAGTCTGTCCCAACTGGCCCACGCGCGTTGCTTCGAGGTGGCGGCTGGTGCTCGACATCGGATGGGGTGTTCATTGAAGACGCTGCGCCAAGGATCTCGTTCGCTTCGCGGTACCACTCCTCATTGATCTCGTCCTTGTGCACTTGGCAGATGTTGTGGAGGACGAGACAACAAGCGATGAGATTGGGAGCGAAAGCGGTGTCGACGTCCAAGCGCTTGAGGAGAATGGACCAGCGAAGCTTTAAGATTCCAAAGGCGCACTCCACGGGCATTCGAGTGCTGCTTTGAATGAAGTTCCAGAAAGCACGCTCTCTGCTGAGACCCTCTTTGCACCCCAAGAAGGGAGTAAGCATGTAGGTCCGGGGTTGGTATGCTGCGTCACCAACTAGAGAGAACCCTTGCAGAGACCCATCCTCGCAGCGATCAAAGGCCTTGCTTCGCTTGAAGAGATTGTAGTCATGAAGACTACCAGCCCACCCAATATCGTAGTTCCAGAAGCAGCTATTGAAGTCAACTATGCCTTGGAGTAGGATAGAATGATACCCTTTCCGATTGTAGTAATCCGCTGGCCACTCTCTAGGGGCAATGATTGGAATATGGCTGCCATCTATTGCCCCCACTACCCGAGGAATCCCTCTCAGGCGCATGAATCCACTTGCCATCTTCCTAAGCTCTGGCAGGGTGCTGGGCCACTTTAAGTACTGAGGTTTCAAGATGGACAGCACAGCATCCACAAATTCATGCAGAATGTTGGTCACTGTGCAGCTCCCTATGCCAAACATGTCCGAAATGACATTGTTGGTGGTCCCGTGAGCTAGCTTGTACATCACAGCTGCTACCTTTAAATGGACAGGCAATGGCTCCCTCATTCTAGTTGATGCTCTTGTAAGAGCTGGAGCGAGCTCTCTACATATTGTGAGAAAGATGTCCTTGCTCATCCGCATTCTGCTTTTGAACATTTTGGCGTTGTATGATCCCAGCAAGAAGACGTCGCAGAACTCAGATTGCCTTGGAAAGCTCCGAGCTTCCTTTACTGCATACTGAACAGAGCCCAACCCTGTCGTCAGCAAGACGTTTCCCATCAGCATGCCCGCTGGAACTATAAAGAGCTGTGCCCTGGCTGCCACGATGGTAGTCTCGGTAAGAAGGCTAACGATGAGCAGGACAACCTCCATGGCAGTTACGCAGAGCACTTGCCTAACTGCTTCAGATGCCATGATGAACGCTGTAGCTGAGCAGTACTGCGGCGGGCCTTTGCAGGAAGAGACCTCGGGAACTGCAGCTGGAACGAAGCTTTCATCAAGATTTGACGCTTTGGTACAGCTCATGCAGTTTGTGGCGCCAAGTCGATGAATTTTTGAATGGCGCGGGAGAGGTTTAGGGGTTTGCCTGCCACCGTGGCACGTTTGAGACTCTTGTGCCGGCGGTTGTGCCGCGACGCAGTTTCACTGGCGGCCGGCAGAACTGCAATTTTTTCGCATTTTTTGGACTTCCGGGCAAGTTCCAGGCACCAAATAATTAAACTTAATGTTGTGCCGTCCGCCGCTAGTGAAACTAGAGCCTTAGGCTTAGCCTTAGCCTTAGGGGGACAGCGTATGGTGCGTGCACAACCTAGCCGGATTCAGTGAGGGCGGCCGTCGCCACTCCGTGATCGGAATCCTTGTTGACTTTGCCTGTACTGCGGTTTGAAAAGTCGGCGTACCATCTACCGGTAACCGTACCTACTACGCGTCAGCATGTGCTCAGCTACCTAGATTCCGACAGGGCCCTGCGCAGTGCGCATCCGGCATTTGTGGGCTGGGGTGCAAACAAGATGTTGCCCTAGGGTGCTTTTACGCCCCAGGGATGTATCCGGGGGCGCTTGGCCATTTCCCCGGGGCGCAAGCCCCGATAGGGCTGTTACACTTGAACATGGTGCGATCGAGACGACCCCCGGTCAGCCGATCAGGCTCGCCGGGCAAATGCCCTGTTGGTTTCATTGCTCGGATTTGGCAGCTGCCGGACGCAGCCGGAGGCCCCGGTTCGGTCGGGGGTTCGCGTTCGAATGCTGGATTGGGTCGTAAAGTGCCCGACCCGAGGGCCATCCGGTTGTGTGGCAACCCGATCAAGATTTCTTACATGCCTGATCAGGTCAGCCGGAGGTCCGGGTGATGGGTCTCGGGCCGTTTTTTTTCGCAACTAAATCTCAAGTGTAACAACCGGCCTACCATGCCCCCTTCAGGTTTGAGCCGAAGGCCCTGGGGCCGGCGCTGCTGCGCTAGGGGGCTTTCGCTCGGCGGCTCTCTGTCCCGGCCCTGTTGTGCGTTTCGCGGCCCGCCCGCAACGGTCAACCCCTGCCCGGCGGCTTCCGTGCGATGCCACGTGGCGCCTCACGGTGCAATGGTAAATTTCGGCCAGTGTGAAGATTGATTAGGGTTCACGCAATTTAATGGGTAGGTTCATGACTATAAAGCAGCACAAGCTAGATACAATATACAAGCATTCCAATCTGATACAGGCATATGCATCTTCTCGAATTATACGGACCGAGATGATCCGCTCTGCCTTCCTGTCCCCAAAGTGATACAATTTGCACATGTGAAAGCACAGCAATTGAATGACAGAAAGGATGGTGCTTGGACAGTGGGGGAAGCTGACAGCCCTTCCTCGTGTGTCCACCTGCCTTTCTCCGAGCAAATGGCCATTTGAATATAGAGCATGATCATTCATTGCAAGCATGTGTGAGTAATAAGATTGACTGATTGAAAGAAAGAAACAGGCCTGCCCGTCTTATTTATGATTGCTGTCTGGATGGATTGTCCTGATTGAATATAGAATCCAATCTCGCTACTGTAGGACGTAAACTTATTCTATGGAATGACTATTGCTTGGGGGCTGGGCCAGAAAGAGAACATCAAGAACAGCAATGCAGTCCCTGTGTGTGCCTAAGCTGATTCTGTGCATTCAATTTGAACAAGCATAAAAAATTTTCATGCATTTTCAAAGGAGTTTTCCCGCCTTCCTAAGAGCTTCCGCATTGATTAGAATTTTGGTGCCGGGGGGATAAAGTGTCATACCTGACAAGGAAAGGAGAGAGAGAAGGGTTGTCAGTAGTCCACCTGCGCAGAGTCTTCAGAAGCTTGGCCAGTCAGCAGAGGAGCAGTCTCATAAGAGTCTTCGTGCATGTCCAAAATCATGAGAAGGGCCCCTTTCTGGCCCAGCCCCTTTGCTTGCGTCGCTGTCTCGTGTCTATTTGCTATCAGTCCTAGGAAGGAAGCACCTGTTTGCTTTGTTTGCTGTAGCTAAAAGTGACGAAGGTTTCTGTTCTGTCTTGCGAAGGAAGAAGATTGCTTGCTAGACAAAGAACGGAGATTTCCTTCATCGCGAAGTTGAGGCAGCGCGCGACTTCAAACGTACACTTATTGACGTGGCAGACTCTGACTGGGCTAGAATTGCTCAGATAATTCCGACCGTCCGATTTCGGTCTGACGCTGCAATTAAAAATCGAGGGTTTAACGTACGTACACCTGGACTGTGTGCCTCGGTTGTAACGATTACGACTGGTTAAGCCTAACCTCGTTCTCGACAGG